TGTAAGTTGATATTCAACGCTAACGCATGGGTTGGGCGTTGACGAGCCCCACCGGGCTCTGTACACGAAAGCTCACCTGCAGAAAACACTATGCGATCAGCTAGGATGGTTCGGAACGCATCAAGAAGCATAAGAACGGAGCGGAACACTGATTTGAATGCGGAACAACGGATTCAATCACGGATAGACCATATTTTTTTTTGATTTGATTAGTATTTTTCGTATTTTATTCAGTTTTGAACTTATTGGAGATAGGATCCATTCGATCCAGTGCGCAGAAGACATTTCCTGCATTCCCTACGGATCCAACGAGTCCCATGAGCGAGTCTGGTGTCTACAGATGCTCAAATGTTCATTCTACTTCAAAATTTTACATTTTATTTCGACTTTACTCCTTTCTGTTGAAGAATATTCTTATGTACTTAAAAACATAGGTTTTGTTTCGTAGTTCATTAGTTCAGAATCCCCTCTCCTTCTCTCCTCTGTACTCAGTCGTCCTCCAATATATTTCATCCAATTACTTTGAATTTTACGGAATAAATTCAAGTTTTTGAAGCTCACCTCCTCGAAATCACCCTCTTCACGAAATCGCGTCGCTCTCGTCGACGACAACGCCAAATCTCTCCATTCCTTTTGTATCGTCTAGGGCTCCTTCCGGGCTTTCTACGCTACTTCGTTTCATAATTTTCCGTGCTCTCGTTGTCGAGCTATTGTAGTTGCGATCGGGCGATTATTTTAGCGTTTTCCCTAGCAGTCCTCCTCCGTCTCTGTCGTCTCCGTCGTGCCCGTCGTGCACCCGTCGTCTCCTCTGTCATTCTATCAGTCATTCCAGCCTTCAGCCTTCGTCCTCCGGTCTCCATCGCGCTATTTCGCATCCATTTCCCCCGACAATTCATCATTCTATTAGCAGTCTACTTTCTAGGTTGTTAGGACCGACGTGAGGCCACCTCGCAATTTTATTTCTTTTATTTTCTAGGTATACAGGTTTATTCTAGGATTATTATATATATTCCTACGCTATAGCCGGTGCCTAGGTCGACAGCGTTCCACTACCAGGCCGTTAGAATACAGGGAAATGACAGAATGAAAAAGTTGGACGCACTGTACAGATGATATCATAAAATGAAGGTTAAAGAATTAACAGATAACAACTTCCTCTCCTTCCACCTAGCAACCTAGCTCTGATTAATTTGGACAGAGCTTCCGTGTTGAATTCGATCACAAACGTTCGTCAGGATAGGGATAGCGGATGCGGTTAAACTTTGTCTTTTGTAGATTAGGTCGTTAGTTGTACATGTAAATTGATGAAAAATAGCGTGGAACTTAGGGTCCAGGCTGAGTGAGCATTCAAATGGAAAATTGGCGGTCAAATGGTAGTATGAGCCATAGATCTGACTCGATTTCGAACAGAGCTTCCCGAGGGTATACAGTTCCACAAGGATTATTCAAGTGATACTGTACGGCTGCCCTATCAGATCTTGAATGTACATGGAAAAAGCTGAACGACATGGAAGCAGAAATTCAAGTTCAGGGATTAAAATGCATCGCGTGCAGAAACAATCTCATATGCGCCTCGGCAAATCCCGATTTCGTCACACGCACCAAATGCCGACTGCCGGCACTTCCCCAGCCAAGACCCGCCCACCGTATGGGGAGATAATCAGCTGCTTCCTCGTTCCTGTTGAATTTCGATCTGCTCAGCCTGTGAAACGCTCGTTACTCTCTTCAACATCGACTCTGGGAATCTCAGTTGCGACGACCTCTACGACAGCCAGGGCCCGGGTGACTTGAAGCTAGAAGGACGTGGCATAAACTGCGATTCAGAGTGACGGTAAGTACAACGTATTGCGCAGTACGACGTCGAGGCGCAGTTCGAGTTAGTTCGACTAACCAGTCGTTCGTTTATAGCTCTACTCTGCTTGATTATACTCAGAAATCCCTCTTGAACATCCCACAAACAATAATAGACATCCAGACGGTTTGAGGAGTTCGCGAGGTGCACTAAGTGAGTCTATAATCTATTACCTGGATGCAGGACGCTCTGTCTGAAGGGCGCATGTGGTGGCGAGGTCACGTTCAATGCGGAAGGGATGTTTCTTTCAGTGCCATCGACGCCCATTGTATCATTTACATGACACCACGCTGCTCATGCAAGCGACTCCGCGACACCCTTCCTCCTTCACCAAATCCTTCATACTTACTCATAAAATAGACTAGGTTCTTTCTGTTCCTCGTACGACAAGTTTGCGCTTGTGCAACGTACCCCGCAGTCGATATTCGTTACCTGTTCTCACTCGGAATCGAACCTACGTAGTTTGAACCCATCTCAACCAGCTAAAGTGAGTAGATCCGCCTTCTCTTTCATTTGGCATGTTATTTGGTGCCAGTGAGGCTCCTTCCTCTCACCCTCCTAACTCTGGTTAGATGATGTGTAGCATGGACTCCAAATTGATTCATGCAAAGACACTTGTCGATTCATCGGCAAGTGTCCGAACCAGTAGCCTCTGTTCAGACATAGGGGCTCTTACTTCGTCTTCGCTGTTCCAGCTCTCTTGTTATACGCTCGGAAGCTAACGTGCATTCTTCCGGCACAGGTACCTGCACCTTCCAACACATCACCTCAATACAATGGCAACACCATTCTCATGGTCCGACTCCCTCCTCGCGTGCCTCCCCACTGTACCATGTCTCCCTGGAACCAACGCCGCTGCTTCATCCTCCACCGAGTCTCTCACCAATCCCTCGTCACTTAATGCCAACTCTTCCACTTCCCGTACATCCCGAAACCGCAGTTCGAACGCACAGCAGCATGAAGATCTCCACAATCCCACTGCTCACCGTATCCCCCGTGCGCACCCAGATGAGCTTCGCGGGCTTCTACGAGACGCAGAATCAAGTACAGACGGTGAAGACGCAGAGATCCTCTCCCTCCACTCCGACTTTGGTGCTCGACGTCGCCAACAACGAAGGAAGAAGAAACCAAAGAAGAAAGCTGGAATCACCCTCTTCGGATACGATCTCTTCGGTCGCCCAAAGCAGCCAGCAGTGCATCTGGGCGATGATGACGATGCTTTGTATGCTTCGCACCGGAGACGGACGACAAGCACAGGCAGCAATTCTTCTGATACGCCGAGTACGACACTCACTCGGGCGACATGGGATTCGGACGCTGCGCCGTTGGATGCGGATATGATTGCTGATTTATCATTCTCGAGTGAGGCGACGATTAGGGTAGGGAGAGAGGAGGCGGAGCGTGTGCGTGATACGGTGCGGGAGGTGAATGAACACCCACAGGAGCAGAATGAACATCAGAGGGAATTAGACAAGCGCATAGAAGGGAACGCGGGATCAGAAATTGGCGAACGAAACGGCCACTTATCTCTGTCAGCACTTTCACCCGCCGAAGCAGACGCAGCCACCGAAGCCCTCCGTCTCCAAGAAAAGGAGGCTCGGCGGCAGAGGAGGCAGGAGAAACGCGAGCTCAAACGACTCGCACAGGCCCTTGCTGCTGGTGGTGAAGGGGAGGATGAATTCGAAGGGTTCCCTGGATCCGGGTCCGGGCTCGCACCTTCCCAAACACAAGGGAAATACCCCCGCATCCCGAACGCGTTGTACTCCCCGTCGTTTACTGGCTCGGGGACAGGGTCGAATGCTTCGGATGAGTTTGGCCCATTCCAGCGCGCGCAACAGGCGAGTTCACTAGCACAGTACCAGCAACCCCAGCAGGGTATATTAGGAGCGGAACACCTCGCGCTTGAAGCAGATGATGATGATGCTGATCTAGATGGGGCTTTATACGCTCGGCGTACATCTCGTCCGTACCCCAATGGCGGGTCTGGATCTAGAGGGAGTGACTCGAGGGGGTCAGATTCACGTTCTGGGAGGGGAGACTCAAGGAGTCGTGGAAGTGCTTCTAATCCTGGTGTTGATGGTGTTTATGGAGGCGCCGGCGTTCCTGAGAGTGGGCATGCAGGCTCTGGGCAAGTGTATCCCTCCGCGCTACCTCCCCATCTCGCATCCGAATCGAGCACTAAGAGGCATAGGAAGAAGAAATCCAAGTCGAGTTCCAGCTCGGTATCCCATGCCTCTCAGCAGTCTCTTTCCTCGTCTACTAGAGAGTCGACTCGAGGATCCACATCTCCCTCCACCGCAGCTCCCACCTCCCCCGGAGACGCGTTCGACATTTCTTCGGATCGAGCGACTGTCGTCTCGCCTACGACAGTCGAACAGGGTATTGGGTTCTTTGACTTGGAGGATGAGGTAGTGAGTCCTGTATCCGCGGGATTGCACGCACCGAGCCCTGCATTGTCAGGAAAGTTCCCTGGTCCGAGTCCGGGTGCAGATGGACGATTCCCTAGTCCCCAGCTGAGTAGAGGGTTTCCTAGCCCGCAGCTGAGTGGAGGGTTCCCTTCGCCTCGACTTAGTGAGAGAGGCAGCTTCCCGTCGACTGGGTTCCCTCGTCCGTCTTTAACATCTAAGAAGTCAGATATGGGCGCGTTTTTAGCGAGGAGAGGGGAAGAGGAGGAGTTTGAAGGGTTCTGAGCGCCTCGCTGTCAAGTTAAGCAGTGACATGCTTTATCCTTTCGCACCTTATTACACCCTTTGGGTTAACGTTCGGACTTCCTGTCACCTTCTCATTTGAAAGGCACATGCTTTGTTATACCCTAATCTTCCTTTCTTTCACGCCCTATTTCATCCTCTCATCGCATCACGTTCGACCATTTATTAATCAATTTATGCCACTGAATATGCCATCGTCTGCGCCATAACAACCTTACCTCGCCTTGTATATCCTCCCATCATGACGTTAACCAATACTTGTTGATAGTCGCTTTCTTTTTGTGACCTTGTTACGAATGCAACGAACTATTGTAAATCATTGGGTGACCTGAGCAAAGTAATTCAAATCCTTACAATGAGTCTTATATATGCTATTACTCGCCGAGAAAGTGAATTAGTGTCGTCGGCATTAAAAAAAAAGATTTCAATGATAATAAGCAGGGCCTGACCGGGAATTGAACCCGGGACCTCCTCGAAACAAACGCTCACAAAGCGCTGGAAATGTTGAGTTTCCCGAACGAGGAATCATACTACTAGACCATCAGGCCTGTAATTAACGAGTCAACGGAGGCGTGTTCCTATTTCCAACTATCTTCATCCCCACCATCGATAATTTATTCAACTCTAAATTAAATCCGAAGCACTATACGTCCTTTGGAAGCAGATTTTCCAATTCATTTATCGCAATAAAATGGTTACAAATGATTCATTGCTATTATCTGATGTGTCCGCCCCAGTGACGGTTATATCGTTTGGTGTTCCTGACTGCGTCAACACCGTCGAAGAATTAAATGATATCCCTCCATCCACTGAATACGAAATAAAAATACTGATTGTGTACGCCACTATCTGAGGTAAACGTTCATATGCCACGATCGAAGTTGGTTTGTTACTGATCAGATCGAATACAGCCATCGCTCTGTTTCCAGTTCCTTGAAATATCACCGCACTGTTGTCGGAGAACTGGACGACGACTTTCTGGAGAGATGTGGCCTGTGACGTTGCAAGGACTTCTAGCGTTGTGTTGGCAGAGATGCTAAACGAAAGTGGGTTTGTCAAGCTTCGAGATACCAGGTCATGCACCTAGAAAAGTGAACGAAATAGAGCATCATAATCAAAACTAGTATAATGTGTAAGTACCTCAGGTAAGAAAGCATGACTTGCTATTAATCCATCGTCTCGCATTGGCAAGAGACTAGCAAGGGTGGAGGAAAAAAAAGTTAGAGCGAAAAGAGGCCCAACTGTTCGCATTTCGAAGTGATGTTCAACTGAATTGACAAAGAAGATTAAATACCGCAAGAGCAGTAAATTATTGGTCACAGGAATAGCATATATGTATCAGCAAGAGCTATCCACGCTTGACACTCTCTGGGAAAAGCCAGCTATATACATATATATGATATGTACTATTGACTCAGTCGGTTCCGTCTACCTGTGTTCTATAAATATCAACCACCTGTAACGGAATCTGCGCTGTCCCGGGGTGATACAAATCTTCAACTTTAAGTTTCGCCGCATACCGTGTCTTGCCAGTTGTTAAAAAAGCTTCCACTTCTTTAATACTAGTGTGATAACAGCATAGAACATGATAGAGATGATGAATCTCGAAATATACTTTACAGACCACCGTTCATCGTTTGACCGAGTATCTATTTTATTTCAAGGTCAGAGGCTCAAAGCCAGATCGAATCCAACCATTATCAAGGATGAGTTCCTAATTACAAGGACATGCAAGAACTTTGTACGTGAGGATATGCAATATCCAAACCTGGTTGTAACAGTAACTGCCAGTGAAAAATTGAGTATGTACCCCTATGAAAATGGTGCACGAATAGGCTAATTTGGCTTGAATGAAGTTGTTTTCAGGAGCAACCGCTCATACAAAGTCAGCAGGAGTTTATAGTGAAAGTATCCACTATGTACGAACGTGTTATGCAATCAGCGGGTAAAGAATCCATAGGACGTAGTTTACTGTATGTACAGTTTTTGTACATATGACTAATACTTATAGTGTTATCTACTAATAATATCTACCATTCTGGATAGATGTAACTGTTAAATCCACAAGCACTGGACTGTACAATGTAAAATAAGCTGCCAAGCAACTTTAGTAAACGCAATCATCCGTTCTTCCTCCCGTTTGACGGCTTCAGAAACTATAATCCATTTAAAGCAATATAATTCACATGTAATTAGTAAACTAGCACCATTACATGAGAAGGCACTACTACGGATTAATATCTAAAAATAGGCCACGAGTAAAGAGTTTATGATGTAAAGTCTAACATGGGGTATGCCCAGTAAATGATTAAAATAAAAATAGAAAATAAAGAAAATAAAAGAATTAAAAGAATTAAAAAAATGTCTAATCAAAGATGATATGCTGCCTTGATCTTATCAGAAGCGACCTCAGCAACACCATATATCCCAGCTTGAGGATGTGCAGATGGTATGAACGGCTATATTTTACTCATTAGTATAGTTACCCAAAAGCGTTATGACATAACTTACGAAAACAGATCCATCAACAATCCGAACTCCCGAAATGTTCTTCACTGTCAAATCAGCCCCAACCACACCCTTACCCTCGGCTCCATTAGCAGCGGCTGTCGACATCGGGTGTTTAATCGAACCCGTCCACCTTCGGATATATGTGACGATGTCGGCATCAGTCGCATTGGGAGCCAAAGCAGTAGCAAGATCGGCGTAGGGGTGAAGGATGTATCCGTCCCAAACTTTAGCACTAGCAAATCGAACAGCAGCCTTGATAGCTTCAACCATGACTTGTAAGTCAAAGTCGGTGTCGAAGAAGTTCGGGTCGATGAGTGGAGCAGTGAATGGATCCGAGGAATTTAAGACCACAGAGCCACCTTTGAAATTAAAATTATATGATGATCAGCAGGAGAATATAATGGCTAGAATTGAAACATACGTGAAGTCGGAGAATTTACAACGTTGATGTTAGAGAAATATCTTCCACTTGTCGGGAAAGGTTGGCTAACTGACATAAAGCCACTAACCCATGCAAGTTCGTAGTGTGCACTGCCTGGACCTGCAGATTGATCGCCAAATTGGGCTAGTATAGAAGAGTTCTGAGGAAGGCGGAAAAATCCCATATGATTTCCCAAAACATTAGCATAAATACCAGTGTGGTTAGCGTGCCACTGTGATAAAGCAGCATTAACCGCAGCCGGGTCCTCTCCTAGAGTATAGATATCACGAGTGGGAGCATCGTCTGGAACGACCCACTGTGTGCTAACAATAGGATGATCTTGAAGATTCTTTCCAACTTCGGGTAGAGAGACGGTAGAATTAATTCCAACTTTGGCAAGCTCTGCAGGATCTCCGATACCAGAAAGCATTAATATCTGCGGTGACCCGATAGCTCCAGCACTAAGAACAATTTCGTTGTTAGCTTTGAAGGTAAAGCGGGGACCGGTAGATGTCTGAGCGACTTCGACGCTTTTGAACTCGGGAACACCATTAGCGCTTCCAGTTGTAACGAGGCGAGTGACGCGTGTCTGAATGAGGACGTCCAAGTTGGCACGAGTGTTCAAAACTGGAGTGAGATATGCGGCAGAAGAACTTGAACGGGACCCATTTCCCAACGAGTTTTGCTGCCAACCTACATCAATGAATGTAAGGCAATCGAATAATTGATCATCAGATATCGCATGCTTACCTATACCAAGAAGATTTCCAGAGTTGGTATCTTGGTTGAAGGGGAACTGATCGGATAATTCTTGAGTGGTAGCCAAGACGCGATCATCAATGTTGGATAAATTTCCAGTGACGCTGAATGCTACTGGGCCCTTGAAACCATGTACTGAAGGAATATATTCTCCGGTATCATTTCGACCATCTTCTGGCGTAGCATGATGTTCGCTCTGAAGATACACAGAAATTTTAAAATTTAGTTCTGTACGGAGTAGGCGAAGCATACCTTCTTGAAGTAGGTCAAAATATTATCCCAAGCATAAGATGAGTCGCCAGTAACATTCGCGAAACGATTATAGTCATCAGGTGAGCCACGGGTCCAAGCCAGGTAGTCTGCGTATGAAATAAGAAATTGGTTTCAAGGTTCGAGAGGCAGCTACGTATACGTACTTGTAGAGCTGCTTCCTCCAAGTACAAATCCTCGATAGTATGGAAGTACCTGATTGTTGAGGGCTTTCTGAGGTACAGTAGTATAATTCCAATCGAATGGCGTATTGATAGCAGTCTGACCGCACAGGAAAGGAATCCTAATGAGGTCCGAGTCAAATCCAGTGTCGCTACACGCTCCTATAAGTATAAATATTATCTCATAGAGTAGATAACTTACGATACTCCGGCTTCAATAACTAAGACTTTGACGGATGGGTTCTCAGTCAAGCGAGTGGCAACGACATTACCAGCAGTTCCGGCTAAAGTAAGTAATATTAACGTGATTGAAAGATGAGGATAAGGGAGAATTCACTTACCACCTACAACTACGAAATCGTAGGTTGTCTGCTTGAGCTGGCTAGGATCTGTGAACAGGGCTCCGAGGGTGGTACCGAAGAGAGCAAATATGGCTGGTGTATGGACAAGGCGGAACATCCTGAGGTAAATGACTGAGGAAGCTGGCTAAAAAAATTCGTCTCCTGGACTATTTTATAGGCTACCAGATACCCACTTATACCGAAGTTTCAGGAGTATTCAGATGGAGAAAATGGCGGAGACCAATCTCGCTCGCTCTCGCTGCGGTAAACAGCAATATTTCCCTAAAAATAGAGCGTTAACAGAGAAAACATATAGACCCGGTTATCGCTTCAACCCGTGTAGTGTTGCTCTGTGAGATTACTACATCATCAATTGTTAAAAATCAAATGTAAAATCTTAAATTACCTGCGTTGTTCATCCCTTTTAGACATCGCTTGGTGATTAAAATAAGTAGCTATGGAGAGCCGTCAGAGAGTGAATGATGGCTGTGGATGCCTGGGAATACTTGAAACAGTAATTGAAAAGCGTAGATCCATCTATGCCCATGGCACCCGATAAAATTTCTATGGTTAAATGTTTTGAATAATAACCTGAAGAACAGAATTTTTGAAGATTATCAAAAGCTTTTGATCTTTTCATTACGGACACGCTTTTAAGTCGCAACGACTTCTTGATGCAGATGACCACCATCGGTTACTATATTTGCGCTGAAATGCTATAGCAAGAAGCCTGTACATATTCTTAACAGAAACGTGGCTGGCATCAGCCGTCAGCGATGATCTATCCTCGGAAGCAATTGTGACCCACCTGCTGAATTTCCGATCACCGTATTATTCTTATCACCGTCGTAGTCGTCATGAGAGAAAGAAATGTATCTGTATATAGCATAGCGCTGTGCGCACTGGTGAGATAAAAATAGATGGCGCATCAAAATCTCGGAGTGCTAGGTGGATCGCGACGCTTGATGACTCAATTCTGGGTACGCTGGTAAGTAGAAATAATTAGCAAGCGGAATTATAGGTATCAATAGACTGCTTCCATTTGTAATGTATTGAACTCTCCTTCACTACAGTATTGGGGCCAACTGGAATCGTTTCTAAAGGAGTGCTAAGTTGGACGGCCAGCGCCAATGTTAGTTGAAAAACATCACCGACCAACACTGTACTGATAATAATATCAAGTTTTGGAATAAAGAGCGCTCTGCTGCTCTTTCTAAACTTAGCTTTCTGCGATAATGGGCTATGGCGTCTGCAGTACAGATTTATTCTTCATTTCTCTCCTTAAAACACGTAACTTTTACTCATCTTTCTTTCTTATGGCGTTCTACGGCCTGTTTTATCACCTGTTCTTTTTGTCTTATTTAGCTTCTTCACAGTATGCAAATGGTACTAAATTGTAACCAATACCTCCGCGTTTGCGAGAGTCACTACCTAAAATCCTAAATTAAGCGCGACTGCTTCGTTTATTTTAACTTGATTTCAACATCAAGGGCACGGCTTTACGTTCTGTGACTTGAATCCATTTGTTCCCTTGCACAGCTTATGAGAAGCACTCTAGGCCTTCTCTATGAGGTTCCCAAAATATAGCTCTCCCTTTCCCCACTCGATCGGGAAACGAGCATTCAAAGAATCGTCAATGGGACCATAGCTCAGCTGGGAGAGCAGTAGACTGAAGTATATCTTACGCATTCTAAAGGTCCCGCGTTCGATCCGCGGTGGTCCCATAGTACGGTTACGGATTTCGTCTTTTGGTCGTTGTTCCTTTATCTGCAGCATGCTATCACGGATCATTTTATATAAGCTGCTTATGATCTCTCGCGTTATCCGTCCAGTCGGTTCCGTTCATGGACCGACTGCTTCCCGCCTTGTCAATGAATTATTTTACGCATTAATAAGTCCTCTCGATCCCGAGATTCTCTCTCTCGTGTTTCGCTAATCTCTGGCAACACTCAATACTCGGAAATTCGGCGGACTCACATTTTATTTTTGAGGCTATGACTCAGAACTGATTGATGCATTCGAAACGTACTCGCTGCATAACAGTACTTAACTCACCTGGTGTACTCAAGCGCTTGTATTGAACATTCTTGAGGTACATGTTTGTCGATGATCGCAGTGCAAGTATGGTTTTAAATTCAGCACCACATACGTACTCAGATCTATTCCAAGGTTGTTACCAAACAACGACCTTTAAGCCAACATCGGAGTTAACTGACTTGGCGTTTCTTGGGCGTTTCTTCGAGTTCATAGGTACGTCTGGGACGCAGAGAAGGAAAGCCAACTTGAATATAAAACGAAGAGGGAATACATAACGGGGCGAATTGCAACGACAGACCAACCGCCCGTTGACGTGCGCGTTTAAAGATAACATGAAACTCTAATCGTACAGTAAGTATATTTGTCCTTGCGTCATCTAAAAAGGCCGCTGACGTGAACGATCGCGAACGTCCCTTCACCATCGTCCGCGACAGCAAGCACGATGCCATTCGGCGAAATCGTCTGCGGCTCCCCAGGGAGCGGGAAATCAACATACTGCTATGGAAAACACCAGTTATTCACCGCATTAAATCGTCCTATATCCATCGTGAACCTCGACCCAGCGAACGACTCAATACCCTATCCATGCGCGATCGATATTTCGTCCTTAATAACGCTCCAAGATGTCATGGATGAGCATGGGCTAGGCCCCAACGGTGGGCTGCTGTATTGCATGGAATACCTGGAGGAAAACTTTGACTGGCTTGAGGAACGGCTGAAGGCGTTGGGGAACGATGCTTATGTGCTCTTTGATTTGCCAGGCCAGGTCGAGCTGAGCACAAACCATGAGAGTATCAAACGGATTGTGGATAAGCTGGTAAAGAATGGATTTCGGGTACGTCTTTTATAGTTCTTTGTGCACGTTGGAATGATCAATAATTGGCCAGTTGGCTGCTGTTCATCTATGCGATGCTCATTATATCACAGATGCCTCGAAATACGTCTCCGTACTCCTGCTTTCATTACGAGCTATGCTGCACCTAGAATTACCTCACATCAACGTCCTTTCAAAGGTCGATCTCATATCACAATATGGGGACCTTGGTGCGTACCCAACCCAACTTTTTGCACCGCGTTCTAATCGTTATGTGCAGACTTCAACCTCGACTTCTACACCGAAGTCCAAGATTTGTCATACCTCGAAAACTCACTCTCCTCGTCCCTGCCACCAAAATTCGCGTCGCTAAACATGGCAATGATCTCGCTCGTCGAGGACTTTAGCTTAGTAGGCTTCGAAACACTAGCAGTCGAGGTGTGTGCCCCCTTTCCAGAATTCACCGTTGTGCTTAAAAAACACTAACAGGACAAAAACTCTATGCTCAATCTCACACGTGCCATCGACCGCGCGACGGGATACGTCTTCGTTCCGCCTCCAGAGTCACAGGTTCCACCAGAGGCGATCGACAAAAGCAAAGCACCGCCCGCTGTGCGACCCAACACATACGCTCTCTTCTCCAGCGCAGCAGGCCCATTGAAAGGTCCCGGAAGCGATATTCGGGACATACAGGAGCGATGGATCGACGCGAAGGAGGAGTACGATGCATTTGAGAAGAGGCAGTGGAGGAAGGAGGGGGAGATGGTGAGAGATGAAGCGGCGCGAACGGGAAAGATAAGGGAGAGGAAGCAGCCTACTCCAGAATCTCAGGATATGAATATCTGAGTTGCATTTGTATTTTTCAATTGTATAATACTTACAGCGCAATTTCTCGCCACCAGCGCTGATCACGTCCTCCTAAGCAACTACTTCTGTAAGCAAATCCTCGGGCCACCTCGGCTTATCCTTCCCATTCGGGCGCGTGCCCACATTATACCCCAGCTTCACTTGTCCCTCTGGAAACTCCAATATCGGCTTAACAGTGCGTGCAGGAACACCCAGTGCCTTGTTCTCCCTCACCTCGAAGAAAGACGGGTTAAATAGCGGTGCCTGGTGTTCCTTTAGCATCTGCATGTACCGCGGGATCGTGACACCCATGTTATCTGTGTGATGGAACACAGGCCGATCATATTTAGCCCAGAGCGCGTCCCAGGTGTGAGGAGGGTAGTCGGAGCAGGTGTTTACAAGCCATTGGGAGTAGTAGTTTAAAGCGATCTGGGTAGGGGAGTGGTTAGTGGGGTGTTGATGCTGTTAGGGAGGGGAAATGACGTACATCGACGACGTAAGAGCCTCCAGTCTCGGCTCTCTTGATCAGTGCCTCTACAATGCCTGTGGATCCCGCTGCTCCAGTGCTGGAGGGTCGGTAAGCGGTAGATATAAAGCGAACACGTACGGAATACCCACCAGTAGTCAGAATTAGGAAACACTGGCGTTACAGGCTCGTTATGCCCCATAGCCCTTCCGAACTCGAGTGATACACCACAGTTCTACGGAGTACTGAATCAGCTGGAGGTATTAACATACAATGACACGAACATACCGCATCGCTGATTTGCTGCCATCCAGAGCGGTGTGACCAAGGACCATTCCAGCCCTAGCAAGATGAAAAAAGTCAGCATGGAAAGCTCTCACATCCCAACTGCGTACTCACATAGCAATTCTCATGCGCATATATGACACCCCGCTCCTTGTCCTTAAAGAAACCAAGAACATCATCCTTCCCAAAGCCCCATTTCTGCATGACACCCGGGCGATATCCATCAATTACAACATCAGCCTCTTCAATCAAGCCTCTTAGTGTCCTTCGATCCTCCTCCTTTGTAAGGTCGAGATGTGCGTTCCACTTCCCCCATCCCAGATCGAAGTTCAGAACGACAAGGTCGGTAATGTTCGGAGACGTGATTCGCATGACACTAGCCCCCATCTCTGCTAATTCCCGTCCAATTGCAGGGGATGCGATGATACGCGTAAGGTCAATGACTTTCAGACCGAAGAGAGGGCGGGTGGGGGATGTTTTGCCTTCAATGGAATGCCACCAGGTAGCTTTTTGCTTCTCATTGGGGACGTAGTGAAGCTCATAGAGACCGACATGAGCATTGGCTTTCCCGTGAGCACTGGATCGATATTCGTCAGTTGACCAGCATGTGGTGCCTGCCTGTCGATACTGGTCGTTGAGAAGCCCTTCAACTTCGGCTGAATCGTATTGTAGAAGTTTCTCCTGATAGTTGCGGCTTCCTGCCCGTATATCAGCTGCTTCGTCATCTCGACTGACTTGAAGAGCATCCTGGCATATACGAGGATTCAGACTACCTAACGAACAAAATGTTAGTCGTTTCTAATGACTAACGCAGATGCACTATTCCTTACCATGCAAGTGATAAAAGCGGCTGTCCTTCGTCTTGTAGATGTTCGTACACGCATGATCGAAAGGAGGGGTTGTCGGACTAAAAGCATTGTGCTTATCACAGCTAGGGAAGTACTTATCGAGCCCACTTCCACTCAACTGAACGCTGCTACTCGAGCCATAAGGATCGATCACTGGAAGAAGGGCTGACATGATGAACAGCTGGGCATGATCACTGAAAATCCGAACAATATCAGTATAGGACTTTAGCCCGCAAGCGCATATACAACCAACTAACGTATTTATAATGATCCTTTGGTATGGAATTCCATACTTTCGCTTCAATAGAACGTTCAGCATAGAGCCTTGGAAGCCCTTAAGCGCAGAAATGCTTTCTGCAAACCTCCAGTTGATCGGGATGACTGGGAGATCACTTCCAACATAATCCACATTCGCAGCAGCGTCCTCGATTTCCTTGGGAGAAGAGTTGTGCAGGGGATTATGAATCAGGCCATCGAGTAGAAGTTTCTTGGATTCTGAGGGAACAGAGTACTGGTCCATGCCCGTATTATTGTATCAGGCCTGGTAGTGGACGTCGTAGAGCGACAAGGTGACTGTGACTCTTGACCTCTTTTAGAAGGCATTACGGCGTGAATCCTGGGAGAGCTTGTCGGGCGCCGGGCTTATCAGCTGCTCAAAACGTTGTTCGAGTGTCTGAATGTTCGAAAGATACAGCTGGATTCCACAGTTGACTAGTACGGCATTAGGCCTGCCGTAAATCTCACGTGATACTCGTATATGACATCACAAAATACTCACGCGTCAGAAGACATTTTTGTGACACAAAATCAGTTGAGTTTTTATGCTTCAATGAGCCTTTTCTTTCATGGAGTGTCAAGATAAAAGGCATGGCCATGCACGAGAGCAGCTACATCGTAAAAATAGAAGCAGAGGTTGAGCTAGAACACAAACAATGAGTGCTACCTGATAAAAATGATGTCATATACTTTTTATGGGCACGAGTATCCTTGGAATGTATAAAGTCTCTCGCTCATTCTGAGATCCTGGTAAGTTGTAAATGTGACGGGAGCACGAGGTTGATCGCGGTCACGGCACACGAGAGGTGAGAAGCTCGAGTCGAACGGGATAGACTAGCGTAGGTATATCCAATTCGTAGAACTTGGGCTCGTAGTCGAATACGAGGCCCCTTATATACTGTAGGTAGTATGTAGCTAACTAAAACGAGCGTCGAATAACTATCTAGTTAATATGCTGAGTCCGAAAGTAAGTACTTAGGTTAATCTAAGATAAGATGAAGGAGTGTGGTAACGTTTTGTCTAGGTATCCGTCACAGTAAATTTGCATTGAATCTGCATATCAAAAATTTCAATTACTACGGTAAACTCCGAAAATGGTTGCACACGCTCAGCAACCACCGAAAATCCTATAACTACGTCACACACACTTTG